TTATTTGTCATCTGCTGTGAGAAAGCCTCTTTTCAGACTTCTGTAATTTTTGAGCTATGAAAACGGTAGTATAAATCTGGAAGGAATTGGTTTCTGTAATCTCTTAGATTGTGTTTACATTAGGACAATTTCATAAATAACTGGATATACTCTTTTATAAAAGTCTGGTGGCAGAGTTCAGAATTAGACACAAATAATCACTTTCTACCTAAAAAGCCCTTATAATTAGCAATTTTTAAAACTTACTGATACAAAAAATGAAAAAAAGGTTATAATCTCCAAAAATCTTACACGTGATACTTTAAAACTTGCATATATGTACACCAGTCCTGAGGTTTGTAAACACTCAGGCAGAAGCCAACTCTGAAGAAAAGGTTTTTTCAAATTGAGATACTATAGAAAAGTTTCTCTCTGTTAACTAAACTACAGCTGAAGAATTTATTTATGAACACTTAATTCCTTTAAGGTTAAACACTTTTTCATTGCTGAATTTTCATGCCGCTGTGACGGTACAGAAGTGCTCAACTTTTGTTTTTACAGTATAATACCCCAAAGAACTCGACACAGTTAAGGACTAATCTCAGCTCAGAGAAGCTTCTGTACTTCCTAAACTGGACTATCAGATTCTACTTTTATAGCTTCATTATACTGAAATTCTCATCTTCAAAGAGTGAAGTGGGAAAATGGGAGGCACCTCTGGGTTTTAAGAGCTCTGAAGGATAGGAAAACCTGCATGAGGTAATCGGATACCGAGGGAACTGCGAAGCTTGCATCTCCTCTGGGCAGTGGGAACCAAAAATAGCTATTAAGTCTGAAAAATTCTTATTTTTTTTTTTTTTTTTTTTTTAAAGCTCATAAAAGTAAACCAGCTTAGCGCTTAGCCAGATTAGTGCTTCAATGCTTGCTTAATCATTTACCGTGCATAACATTTGTGAAGGCTGCAGTGCTAAATTGGCTGAGCTCTAAAGACAGTTTACATAATCAAGCATTAAACTTCAAATAGATAAGCAAGGTCATTGCTGCCCCTAGCGCCAAGAAGAGCTCCCAAGTACTGTAAGATTTCTGGCCTAGTTAGCATGTTTTCAAAGTTCTTACTAGGACTCTCCTGATAATTATAAAAGCCTATTTCTGTATTGAAATGCAGAGGAACTTTTACAAGAGAAAAGCAGCAGATGTTCTCTTTTCCTGAAACGTCTTTAAGATTTGTAAGAAAGAAAGAAAGAAAAGCTTGTTGCAAAAAGTGTTAACACTAAGATCTAAATACATGGAAACTCCCATTGCATGGCATAAACACTCTTTGGTTTAACATCCAGCATGTAATAATTAGCCCAAGGTTGTTCTGTTTGTCCTCAAGAAGTATCCGGTGCAGAGCACAGAACACTGCAGTCTCTCTCCTACAATAATATCTCTTTATGACATAAAATCCACCCATTCTGATAACATACTTATTTGCTGGGTCTTGTGAAATCTCTGCGGTGTTTTCGGATACACTTTGTAACAGGTAATTTAAGATCCCAAAAGCATATTCTCAGGAAAAAAGCTCACAGCAAATTAGCCTTATCCTCACAGGTGACAGAAACAGGGGAAAAAATAATTAGCTTACGATAACTAGCACTTCAGATTGCATCACTCACATGATTCCCATTTAGACTTTTTTTCTCTGCTTCATGAGCATTTATCTGATGGTCATCATATCTGTGCCTTTATCCTTCTCCATTTGAAAACACAAAGGCTACAATAAACTCAACCGTCCCTTAGTTAACTCTGACAATACACAGCGTCTCAAAATGACAAAGGAAAATGGGCCATGAAATCCATGTGAGCAATACATCAAGAAACACAGTTATCACAAGATATGAAACTGATCTTTCTCATTTAAGTGCTCATCAACATGGATTAGAAATGCTCATATCAGGAAGCTCGAAGGAATGTCTGTTTGACCTCCTCTCAACCCCAACCACTGAAATTCCACAAGTTTCCCTTATTGAAGACAACCAATTTGCAGAAATATTTCTAGTCTTGTGCTGAAACATGAAGACATGCAAACTTTATTGGGGAGTTTGTTTCAGGGGAAAGGGTGACGCAGGGAAAAGATTCTGATTAAAGACAAATTGATCACTATGTTGAAGGTTTGCAAAATCCTCAAAGCACCCTTCAGAGCACCTACAGGCATGTTTTATCAGTTTGACACCAAGAATTCCATCACTTCTTTGTTAAATCCACAGAAACTTTTCTACAAATTGATTTTTGTTTGATAATCACATTTTGAATGAAGCTCCTGACAAGAGGAAGTGACAAACAGCATTACCTAAGGAGAAAATCTTCCTCCTGCATAATTTAAATACCTCAGGATCTTTCTCCCAAAGGAAAAGTTTCTTATGGATTGAATTTATATATCATCTGTACTTAACCCAGAAGTAGTATGACACCAGGTTTAACCAAAGTCACTGTCACTTTTAGAGCTTGCCTCAGATATTTAACTGGTACCAAATTTTGATAAATTTTCATTCACAAATGGAAATGGTAAAACTCCCAGGCACAAAAGCCTACAGCACGTCCAGTAATACGTGACTTTGAACTCCGTAATACCTAGAGAGTCAGACACGCTCCTGAAACAGTCACGAGCTCATTCGGCTGCCTAAAACTAGCAGTGGTGGTGCTCCGTTGAACGAGAAAGAGAACTTATTGTATGAAACACTACTCTTCACTGCTACCTGCTATGGCTCTGACAAATTCCCTTCTTCTCTAGGTTCACATATCCTCAGGGGAAGACATTAATTCCATGAACATAAAAGCATTTGAAACTGATTTTACCCACTTGGGCAAGAGAAAGCCAGAGGCTGGAGACCGAGGCATTGGACACCAAAGACAGCGTGGCTGGAATTTTTCAGATATCTTCTGAAATTTAGTGATAGGAGCACATTTTCAGAGAAAGAAAAATTCTGAAACTTTCAGGTTGAAAGAGAAAATTGAGAAAGGTTTGACCACTGCAGTCAGGTTAGGGCTAGGAGAGACACATTGGCTATTTATTACTTCTTTTCTTTGAAAGATCCAGAAAGAAGAGTAAGAGAACAAAATAGCAGGATAGCAGCACAGGGAATAACATCAAGAGGCGTACAGAGCTTTGCTTCATCTGCCAGAAAAACAGATTGTCAGCAGGAGCCCAGCCGGCACTCGGGGGTATGTCTGGGCGAGAACTGCTTAGGTGAGCAGCTTATGACTGTCCTGTGCTTGTTACAAAACCCATGGAATTTAATGCTGAGATTAATGGGAACGTTTACAGCTCTCATAGCTACTGCTATAGCCTCTCAAATCTACCATCTCAAATAACTGCCATTGAATTGTTCATTATCTATTTATAACTTACTATTCAGGAATACAATCATAGAATCATAGAATGGTTTAGGTTGGAAAGGACCTTGAAGATCATCGAGTTCCAACCCCCCTGCCATGGGCAGGGGCACCTCCCACTAGACCAGGTTGCCCAAGGCCACGTCCAGCCTGGCCTTCAACACCTCCAGGGATGGGGCCTCAACAACCTCTCTGGGCAACCTGTTCCAGTGCCTCACCACCCTCAAAGTGAAAAACTTCTTCCTAATGTTGAATCTAAACCTGCCCTCTTCCAGTTTAAAGCCATTCCCCCTCGTCCTGTCACTACGTGCCCTAGTAAAAAGTCCTTCCCCAGCTCTCCTGTAGCCCCCGTTAGGTACTGGAAGGCCGCAATAAGATCTCCCCGGAGCCTTCTCTTCTCCAGGCTGAACAGCCCCAGCTCTCTCAGCCTCTCCTCATAGGAGAGGTGCTCCAGCCCTTGGATCATCCTCCTGGCTCTCCTCTGGACACACTCCAGCAGGTCCATGTCTTTCTTATGTTGGGGACTCCAGAGCTGGACGCAGTACTCCAGGTGGGGTCTCATGAGAGTGGAGTAGAGCGGCAGAATCACCTCCCTTGCCCTGCTGGCCACACTTCTTATGCAGCCCAGGATACGCTTGGCCTTCTGGGCTGCGATCGCACATTGCTGGCTCATTTTGAGCTTCTCATCAAGGGCTAGAAACCTTTTTGGTTTGTTTTGTTTCACACTGAAGCTTCAATCTGAAAATAGTTGTTTTATGAACTCTGGTTTGGAGAAAACCTGGAGGCAGCCAGTATGAGATAAAAGCCCCAAAAAGCCCAAATGCATGAAGATTTACCAGGATAGCAGCACTCCTGAGGCTTGGGTAAAGCTTGCAGAAGGGAGCTGAAGTAACACTGTTTCATCTCAAAAAAAAAAAACCCACAAAAAAACCAAACCTCAACACACCAATACCAATTATTTCATATATTTGAATTAAAGTGAAAGATCTTTAATTATACCATTTGGAATATGAGAACTATTAATCATAGTATGAAACTTTTTTGGGTTTTTTTTAATACTTTATAGATAAAAGATACTATCTTTTTAATTATCCGTCAGGTGAGAAGCTGAACACAGGGATAAAGATTACTTCATTAAATAAGTATTTCAAAAGTTATTATTTCATCCATCTACCAGGAAAGCCCCAAATTACATTTGCAATACTGATCTCCTTTATTGACTCACGCTGAACAGGCTAATGGGCATTTCCAGGTTCTCTCAGGCTGGAGAAAAGGCAGCTTTTAGCCACGTTCTGGCTTTGTAACTTGGTCGAGAACATGTGTTGCAAATATACATTAGAGTACAGAATTGACAGGGCAGCCTCTTATTGCTGAGCCTGTTCGCAGAGTTTCTGGTTACATTTGACACTGTCCGTGGACATGTACTACTGCACGTTTAAAAATTATTCACATTCATAAGAGAGAAGGAATATGAAAATCGACTTTTAAAATACTGATAAAAAGGAAACAATGTCTCAGTAAAGGTTGCATAAATGTTTTAAAGTACAGTTTTTACATAATTACAAATAACATACAAAGCACTTTCAATTTAAAAACTACCAAAAAAAAAGAAAAGAGCAAATTAAAAAATAAAAAAGCTGTTGACCAACCTTTATGTCTATGAGATCCATCCATGTCAGAAAACTCAATATGATTTTCATCAGCCCAATACAGTCTATGGTTGACATAATCTATCGTAAGAGCCATAGGTCTAGATATCTGTGTTTCTATGACAACTGTTTGACTGGAGCCATCCATACCAACACGGCCAATGTGAGGATACTCACAGCAATCAATCCAGTACAAGTATCTATAAAACAAAATACAACAGCTGCTTCACTTAGAGATACAAAAATAATAACAATAAATTAATTTATTTAGTTGATCTCAAGAGTAAATCTGTAATTATTCTATAATGTTTCCATTTTCCAGACAGATTTTTGGATTTTTCTAGACCTGCCTGTAAATGAGTGTGCTAAATGTAAAGGGTTTGAGTAGCAGAGCCCTCGTGCTTGATGTGATTTCATCAAATTCATTATGGACTAGTAAAAAGTGCAGTTAAATTGTTTAGTCTTGATACCTTAGAATTTGAAGAACCGCCTATATTGGATTTTGTGAATCTCATATTCTGCAAAAACGGCATCACCGCTAAACTTATGACAGATATAGTATTACAGTTATTTTATTTTTTTTTAATTAACACATATTATAAAACCTTGGGGTTTTTGTTAATAGTGGTATGATGCAAATTATATTACTTGAAGAAGTACTGTTTCCAAAACATTAGAACAGTTTTGCACATAAAGGGCTTAAAAATGGGTAAAGCACTGAGAAAGACTGTTGGAAAGCTGAATAGCAATTTTCTCTTTAATATACTATTGAGCCGCAATACAGACCATGTTTTCCAAATAAAAAGTCCTATTATTTGGTACATGGATGCATGTTGCTACTGCTGTATGTCATTACTTAGAACCTCAGGACAGATTTTTCCAGCTGTGAACCTGGTATGGCTTTAACTCTACAGGTTTTGGACAGGCTCTCAAAAAACCCAGATGCAGCTCATATTCTTAATAGCCACCTCGAATACCGTTTGTGTGCAGGAGAAAATGATGGCCCTAAGAACAGCTACAGGTATCCTACAAAACGCAGGAGCAATATGTTGGCACTGAGCATGGTCCATGTGAGCAGCAGAGAAAGGGAACTTTCCCCACTGACTCCAATAGTAAACTTCTTCTTTAGAATCATATCATTACTATCATATGGCATCAGCACTATGGCTGATTTAGCATCTCTCATTTGGGAGAGAAATCCTAAAATACAATTAATACTATTTCAAACAATAACTCTGAATTTGAAATGCAAACACAGGTTTTTACTTCCAGCGGCTTTCAATATTAAAAATAAACCAACAAACAAATAAATATAAAAAAAAAAAAAAGAGCTTGGTCGTGGAAAGTTAAGTCTGTACACATACTGTGCACTGAGCAGGAGCACAATAAGGTTTTATCTGCCTGTGTATATCTAAACATTCCTGGAAGACTGGGACTCTCTGTAAAAACTTTGTGGAGTTGATTTTTGCATACACAGGGAACATATCCAGATATCCAGGCAACCAGAGATACCATGTATTGGTATCGTCTACATCCTCCCTGCCCAATTTGACAGGGAAGAAAAGGTAGAGTTACAAGAACATTCAATGTTAGTTCTAAGAACTGGTAGAAAATGGGTCTTCTCTTAAAAATAATCAAGTTGAGAGGTTACATTTCTTAGCTAGGAAATACACTTATTTTCCTTGTTTAGGCAGACTCCAGATAACTCAACAATTTTCTCCTGTCACTGACACTTGAGATGACTACTTGAGCCTTAGGATTTAGAGATAGAGAAGAATTCTTAATTTACCAATAACTTTATAGAGTTATAAGACTCTACAATAGCTTTATTCATCCAGTTTACACAGATGTATCCTAATGTTCCGCAAAACAGAAAGCATTACATATGGAATTCAGATCTGAAAAGACGTAGGGCAAACTTTCTATATTTTTCTATCTATTTTATTGATTCAGAGACTGGGTAATAATTTAAGTATTACTATTCAGAAGTATTCTTTTTTTTAAAGATTATATGCAGCATAAATATTTAAGAGAATACATTTGGTTAGAAATTCACCAGGTTTTAATGACTTTCAGTTAAATGTACACTCGTGTTTTCGTGGATAGTGTTAATACAGGTGATGGTTTACTGGTGAATTGAGAGGCCTCTGTCTATGAGGCATTAACTGCATATTGACCCATATAGACCCAGTGACCAATGTCTGTGGCATTACACATATAGTCACATAAATAGTAAATATCTCAATGTTTTTATGCACTTTCTGTTTTAAGAATATAAAATATTTTATCTTCTATCATCAGAATAAGATGTTGGCATGAAATCATTAAATAGTTTATATGAGTCTCTCTAATGCTAATTTGCTTTTGACCAAATAGCAATGGCTAGAAAGTTTCTGTTTAAAAAAAGAAAACAAAAACAAAAAACCGAAACAAAACCACAGCCAAACAGAAAAAAGGGACTTGTATCTCTTGGGGCTGGACAAGATGACCTTCACCAGTTCATTCAAAGCTCAACCATTCTGTGTTTCTGTGAAAACCAAATATTAAGTAAATTTTTTAATGGGAAAAAATATTTCTTTTCTTTTGTTCTTTTTAAAATTCATAGTATTAGGTCACTTTCCTCAAGGACATCAATTTTATGAGAAAAAATATAATACTTTAAAATTACAATATAACTGTAAAAAAACCCAAGGTCTGTGGTTCCTATAGCTTTCACACCAGTCAAGAAATAAAAAATGGTGGTAGTGCTCAAAACTGCCCTCAGAATACCAGCACAAATTTATATCAATAAATAAATTATAGGTCATGCAATTAATACAATTAATACAATTAGCAATTACAGGTACCAGTTAACACACTACTTAAACTAACTAGGCAGTTCTCACTTTTTACCATTGTTGGTGCAATAAATTTTTAAAGCATTGATAATTTTAAATTTCTGAAAACTAAAGTTAGAAACAGTCACCTAAAATGAAGCCCCTGTATCCTAATACTGAATCAGTCCAGTCATTAGACGTGTGTGAAAATCAAAACTTTAATTTTATAGATTAAAAAGGGCAAAAGCTATTTTCAAATTATGTGGGATTAAACATTTTCACTCTTTGACTAACATGCAAAAACGATCAGAAAAAAGTCTTCAGGTATGTGGTAGCTGAATGGCCTAAATTATTTTGGGAACCGGTAAACACAGAAAAGAGCACTAACAAGACAGTTCAATGAATAAATGAAGCAAAACGTAAGAATTGTCTTTCAGGTGATATGAACTTTTTGTTATTTAGTAACACACTTAAGAAAAGATTTTTTTTTTTAATATCTGCTTTCCTCCTACAAAACCAAAACATTTACAGAGTAGTAGATATAAGAAAACATGGTTTTAGTACCTGCATTTATCTTTCTACTATACCAATTTTATATGTAATGATGATATAGTAAGCACTGGTAAAGCATTTTAGACTACTGATATCCAGCCTAGTGGAAAGTTAGACAATAAAAAACTAATGAGTATTTCCTATCTTCTGTTTTTATAAAAAAATATTTAAATATAAAATTAGGATTACATATGAATTACTTCAAAATGGCTGCTCCATACCCAGCTTGAGGATCTAAGGACAGGTCTCTAGGAAACTTCACTCTCTTGCTCACAAGGACGGTGGGGTATAAGCCATTGAGTTTAGACACCTCAATAATTCTCTTTTCAGTATCAGACCAATAGAGATTCTTCCCAATCCAATCGACAGCCAGTGCATTGGGAACAGCTGTATTGTGGACTACCTAGAAAAGCAGAAATTACATAAATTATTCATCCAAATACTGGGAAAAGAAAAAACACCTTAAGAGTTTCTAATACCAGAATATTGAGAAGTTGGATATATGATGCAGTGACACACAACATGCAAAAAATAGCTATTATTCCCGGTTAAACACTGACACTTCTGAAGTAATGACACTTCTTAAGTAACTAAGACACTGTGACACTTTCCTTATAGTAAGGGAGAATGGAGAATACCATGACAAAGTAAAGACCAAATTTCCAACATTATGCGCTAACTTTGAAGAATTTTGTATCTTTCATTTTTCATCTGAAGTTTCTAATTTTTCTTTTGTCTCATTTTAAAAAGACTTTTTCCTCTTTACTATTCTGTTTATTTTTCACAGCACCGAATGGAGATGGGTCTTCTCTCCCCATAGCGTGCCCTCAAACACATCAGCTCACCATTTCTCTCACCAGTCTACATTGGCATATATTTCATTTTAGTATCACAGTAGTGCTATACGTCATCATGACAGACTGACAATAAGGACACTCTACTCAGGCAAACAGGAAAAGATTAACTAGTTGGAAAGTAAATACTGTGCTCTTATTTCCAACATTCATGTGGCAGAAGAAAGAGGAACTTTCTAAGAATTTGCTAAATTTCAAAAGGACTACATTATTAATGAAAAAACTAAGAGACAGAAGCAATTTAGTGACCCGCTGGAAAGCCTAGGCACTACTGACAGGGATGTGATATTCTCAAGTTTTTCGATGACGTGAGTAATTCTGAGACTTGAACAAACGCCTCTAGATAGACATGATTACAAATCTCATCGTGATTGTATGATTCAATCTTGCTTGACGGGGAGTACTTCACGTTAAGTGCTGAGTGACATTTGAATATTCCAAATCATTAGAGTCCAACTTCTTCTAGGCTTGAAAATTCTATTTCTGATAAGGTCTATTCTGACCTATTCTATTCTTGATTAGGTCCTGATTAGGTCTGTGCAACTAGAGCCTAAGAAAAAAAAATATCAGAGAGAGCAATACTTGAAAATATTTGAGAATTCTTAAGTACTAATAATGGGTTTATCACTGTAGTGTATATTCTAATTTATTGTCATTTTCACCACTGAAAGCATCTGAAATAGAGTATAAACAGTACACGTAAACCTGATTATGTATAACTGAATGTGTTATTTTTAATTTTATTTACCATCTGAAGAAACTGAAAAGCCTTCAAGATAAAAAGGGATACTGTGAGATACTTTAAACCAATTTTATAGTTATGAATATGTAAAAGCACCCTTTCAGGTTATTACGTTATTTATCACATTATAAAATCTTTTTAAAATTAAATCCAGGCATGCACCAAGTTTTTAATATGAATGAAATACTTTATTTTCTAATACCTTAGCACTTCCAGCTTCACTGTTTTATAAATCTGTAATTGCAGCAACTGCTGCACTGTAACATGGGATATTTCATGTAGAAATGGATAGCTCTGCAAACTTAGAGAGGGGTTTAGCTACGCTATCTAGAAGCATCAGCCAAAGCAATTAGTCTCTCTTTTCTGATGACTTTTCCTTTGGAGAGTCACTTTACGCTTATTCCAGTCACTGAGATTATCAGTGTGACATTTAATGTACGCAATCCACCTTACTACAGCATTTTCCAATGCCAGATTTCATTTGATTCTACAATGCTATGCATAAGACACGGTGTTAATGTTTGAACACATTTATGTGAAAAAGTTCTTGCTTCAATTGTATAAATATCTCCTCTACGATCTGATGCAGAAGAAAAATGAGATGCCATCAGGTTACCCACAGCAGGAAAGCTAGAGTTGGTACGCTGAAAAGATGTTATCTCCTAAAAGGGAAAACCTAGATAATACATCAAATAGAACAATTTACACTAATGGTATATTTATTTATAGTAAATAGTAACACAAGAACTATGAAGAAAATAAAATAAGAAATTCATACTTCAAGGGAAAAGGTTGTCAACCATAAAATCTCTCTTCCATGACAAAAAAAGAAGTTAAAATATTTAAACAGGTTTAGTGGGAAACTAATTATTTGTAACATCAATTATTAAATATGTCCTATGCTAACCTATTAAAATCTAAGTCAAAGAGACATAAGGTTATCATTTGGCACTGGATAAAAGATTACTGACAGAATATCAGACAGCTACAATATCTAATTCTTGAAAATTTTTGCACATACTTTTAGCTTTCAGAGGCCAAATCTGGGCCAATTTTTTGAAGTGAAAAAACCCAAATACCTTACAAAAATTAAATGACCTTAATTTTACAATTTTTGCCTTGAATTTGGCATCCTATTTGAGTAAAATCTTCATCAACATGACACGCATTCTGTAAATTGCAAAATATTAATGAAGGACAATGGAAATACCCTCCATGACCCCAACCTAATTTTCTTCTAATACTTGTTCCAATTTCTGAAAGCTTTCTTTAAAAAATGAAATTATTATTACATCATTAGAAAGAAACAGGATTTTTTTGGACTCCCCCACCTGGACATTACAACTTTTTGATTGGGAAAAAATTGTTTGTTCTTCTTGAAATAGTTAACATTGGAAAGAAAAAGTCTGTGGTCATCCCCAGTCCTGAAAACATTTCCTAAACCAAAAAAATATAACTTCATCCAGAACGGACAAGAAGCTGACTAGGATGCTTTGTGAAATGTTTCAAGGGAATAAATATGATTCAAGAATTTAATGGATTTTGAACCCCACACTTGCCTGTCAACTATTTTTTGCAGGAAAAATCTTTGCAGGGACTCGCTAGAACTTTTGAGTGCATGCTGGATTTGAGTTTTACCCTGATGGAATCAGAGTGCCATAATTTAGGCTTATCCACATTTTTTTTTTAGGTTCTAAGAACAATATTTCCATGTGAAGGATGTAAACAAAGTTCACTGACACCAGCCAGTTTCAAACCTCAACCCTCAAAAAGACCAAAGTCAGTGTGCTCTGAGGATGTGTCAGTCCATGTACTAAGCCGCAAATGAAAAATAGAAATCTTTTCTCTCTGTATAATTTACTGCTGTACAATGAGGGAAAAAAATCACAGGATACGTTACTGCTTATTTGTTCCTTGTTTAATAAGGTCAGACATAAGAGAATAAGCAAAGAAGAATTCCTTACTGCTTATCAAAAATTCTGGAAAAATGTTCACATAAGTCAACAAACGTGCTTAATAGTGGATTTGTGAAGTTATTCCACTACAAAGGCAAAACAGACAGGCTGTGCAGAAATGGGAGCACAGTTTTACCATGGATTATTCACAGCAAAGACATTGAGTTACTTTCATTACCAGTGTAATGGAGGTGAGACAAAAACACAGTGAAGACCATGTATACGAAGAAATAATACATCAGAGTATTTACACAGCTTACACCTAATTATACTTCCTTTTCTTTGGCATTCTGTAGACCACACTGAATAGCCAATTCAGTCAACTGTCAATTAAGTCATAAGGAATTTAGCTCATAAATACAGTCCCCACCTCTATACTTCAAATAAGATACAAATGCAATTAAATTTTACTAGGATTAGCTAGCTTTTACTGTGTTTATACACATATATCAAAACCTCACAATCTGGATTAAAAGCATGAATGAGCATTTCCCAAAATACTGAAAAACTTCAATTCTAGTGGTGACATTATTAATCCCCAATTACCTTGATGTCACTTCCATTTAAACACATTCTGTTTATGCGACTGCCGTTTGGTCTGCTGGAATCAATCCAATAGATGAACTCCTCTCTGTAGTCGAAGTCTATTGCAATCACATTGTTCAGCCCCTAAAAACCGAAAAAAGGTAGTCCATTTATTCAAATGTTTGAATACAAACTGTTGGACAGCATTCAGAATGCAAAATACATTGCGTGTAATATTAAAAATCTTTATTTTACTGACTGCATATTTTTGAAGTATCTCTCAGTTTTCCATACATTACTTGTAAACAATCAGAAAAAAATTGTAACAGAAATAAAATATGGTGACAAAGAACTATCTCACTAAAAAAATGCAGATGACGTATGTAACTAAATGAAGCTTCTGCGTTGCTCTTTCCTACTATTAAAATAAACTTCAGCACTAAATACTTTAATTTTTGTTCAATTTCTCTGTTAATGATTACCTTTGGCATTACCTTGGCAAACTAGATGACACTCTTTTTATAACAACTCAGAAATAGCATAAAATGTATTATTTTTATTAGTGAAAACATATCATTATCAATATAAATTGATCAGGAATTCAAAATTTTGATGTTCAAAGAGGCAATAATTTTAATTCCTGAATAAGGAGGTTTTAAATTCTTAGATGCTGTATTGTAGGTACTGTACTGTGTACATATATATATATGTGTGTGTATACACACACACAAAGGTAGTATATACATAAAGCATGAAAGCTGGAGATCCAGCAGGCATCTGGAAGTCTCCTATGGCTCCAGTTACTACGCCAATACATTGTAAGAAAGAGTGGTGATCATATTTGAGATACTCCTACAGGTTGGAAAGAGCAGTCATCTAATAATGGCTTTTCACCCCAAATAGCCGATAAGGAAGAGAGGTATTGCACTCAGCTGCTAACTCTTATTTCCTTATCTGAGAATAGGAAAGCCTTGCCCCATAATCTCCTTAACATTCTGAGATGTAGTGAGATCACAATTATTCTTAATGTACAAAGATGTTGTTATTAATCAAAGATGGAGCAGCAGTGGTAAAAAGAATGGACGCAGTTTGTACTCCTTTGAAAACCTCAAGATCATTTTAATCAATTCCCTTATCAGCCCAATGCCATTCTACTCTCAGGCAGATCAGCAATCTCCCTCGTTAATGTAATTCATAGTCATAGAGGGGATGTTCTGGACTAGCCAACTCTAAAAGAAACAACTAACAACAACAATATTTAGTTGCACAGAAAGAGATACAGGGCTCATCTGCTAACTACTACAGTGTAACACTGTATATCTATCTTTTGATCAAAACGTAGAGGAAAAGAGTAATTAGGCTGCACAGTCCATCATTAAAGAAAGCCTGAGACAATACAGTGTTGGAAGACCACTCTCATTTTCAAAAATCACGTATCCATGCACAGTGTTTTAACAAAACCAACTGCAGCTCTGGCAGTAATAACTGTGCTGCAAAACACTTTTCCCGGTTCTTTTTCTACTATCAGTATAAATGTACCTACGGATAACCCCCCACCTCAAATTCTTCGCAAAGACGACAACAGGTGAATGAATACAAAAGACTATCAAAAATTTGTAACATTCATGAAATGAAAGTCAGTAATTTGTGAAAAATTAGCCTTATAGTTACATATTCTACAACACTGTAAAAGTTTCTTAAATATCCAGACTAAGCAAGAGAAATGACAGCCTGCAACTCTTGGGTTTCAAGTGTTTCATTTTGTGTCAGTTTAGTTCCAATATTTTTCAGAATATCAACTGCAGGTAAAATTATTTCTGTACATCTGCAATAGAGTTCCCTGTCCAGACAACATCTCCTCTTCCTGATCTATGTGTCACTTCTAAGTCGTCCTAGCATAACTCTTTGTCGTTTCTCATACAATCTGCTTTCAAACGGCAGCAGCTGCATTAATCACTCATCTTAAACCTGTGGTTTTGTTTGTTCCTGTTGCACACAGGGCAGGGTATCCTAGGCCGTGAGTTGTGTTGCCTTGGTGCCCCAATTAAAAAAAAAAAAAAAGCAGGTCTATAATCACAAATAATGAGAAGGAAGATTCTCTCTATCTACTCTGTCTGGACACCCGAAGAATTTTGATGACTAGGAGCAAAGGAAATGGAAGGCAAAGAACAAACATGAGACACAATTCAAACAGTTGCACTGTTTATATATATTTAAATAAAAAAGAAAAAAAAAAAAAAGAGGAAAAAGCTGGTACGTAACAACTCAGAGCAGACTGAATGAATTCCTACTTTCCGGTCCTTTGCTCCAAGTTTGTATGAAGCGCTGTTAGAATGGCAAAGCACAGAGCAAATACACAGAGAAGGGTGGGTTTGCTCCTTTGCCAGAGCAGCTCTGGTATTTGCCTTCATCTGGCAGATGTCTAAGAAAGAGCTGATCCATCATAACATTACAAGGCCAAAAAGATGTCCTTATGAGGAAGACAGCCCACCTGTTCTGCTGGTATAGCTCCCTCTGTTGCTTTCAAATCTGGATGCTTTTTAAAACGCTCTAATTGTAGGATCAAAGGCCAGCAGGTTCAATAGCAGAGGTATTTATTAGACCAGTGAATTAATGTGATATGGAAAACACAGATTCTCTTCAATGGCTGGAGCTGCACGGTCTCTGACATGCTGAAGAGGAGTCCATTAAATTCAAGACTGATGAAGCTCTGAGACAATCTGTCAGCACCAGCCATAAAGAAAATTTACTCGTTGCTCCCCTCTTTTCACAGGCTTCTATCAATAGATATACCAGCAAAAGAGGAGAGAGGCAGTGAGATGTGAATGAGAGGCAGTCAGAAGGATTTCAGAAGAACAGACAGACTTTAACATAATGCTTGCTATGCTTAAATAAAGTCAATGTTTAATGCAAGATGGTTAATTTTGTAATTACTGCTGTGAAGACCTGAGCACCTCTCTTGTGACATTAAGACGCACAGCTTACTGACACAAAAAGTCACAAAAAGTCTAACGCTACTGATTGGCAATAACTGATTTTTCTAGTCTTTCTACAATTCGTTAATTAGTACTCAAGGAAACAGATGTTCTTATCAAAACATATTTTCGAATTCTAATCTCTGGTAAGTAACTACACTTAGGTGAAGCATAGAAGCAGAGCAGAAACTGCTAAAAGTGACAGCTCTGTACTTACTAGGTGACTCTATTTTTGCAGGTTTTTTTCAAATAAGTTTTTTTATCTGTAATAATAATTTAGAGTAATTATTTAAAAAAAAATAGATGTAGCCAAAGGTATATGTTCATGTATTGTAATGTTTAAAGTCTTGGAATAGTCTACCTAAGTCAAAAAAGTAAATTTGTATTATGACAGTAAGTAGCCCAAATAACACATGACCAAATAGTTTTTGGGTTGTTTGTTTGGTTTTTTTTTTTAAACTGAAATATACAAATTGCACAAAACATATTGTGATGAAAGAGGATCACAAATAACATAATTTTTTTAGTACATCAGAATGACTGACGAAACAACTGCCTGAGCTTCAATCATGTCAAATTCAGATAAAATAGTCAATTTAAAATATTATGAAAACTCTGAAGATACTGCAGTTGTTCTATGGTGCACATAATGCCAATTGATGATGTTTCTGTCAGTTGCACACTTTAAAAAAGAATAAAAGTATTGAGTTAAACTTAGAGCACGGTACTATGATTATACCTGTTTCAACAAAGTGTAGTTGGATCCATCAGTGCTAATTTTTCTTATTTCATGATGATCAGCCAGAATTAAGAAAGGTTCCTCATCTAAACCCCGGGAGAAAGAATATATTAGACTAGCTTTAACGTTAATTTATGGAAAATCAGGAATACAACGCTGAAATACAGATGGTTTGAAAAATAAATGTTACATGCTCTGATCAATGTTATGGATGAAAGAAATATTTAAAACATTCAAATGTTCCAAGAAAGATCAATGATGCAGTATAAAAATGAACAAAGCAATCAATTAGTATATCTTCCAATGTAATTTAAATTTTTTGCCTTTTTAATATGGGAACCATACTGTATTTTGTGCTAATTAAATGTCAGAGATAAAATTTGAAATATACTTCATACCACTTCTTTTAATTTCAACAATCACTTTCAAATTATCACTAAGACTATTATTTGTTGTGGTTGCAATCCAAGAACGTTTTGACCATTGCTTTTTGAGATATCAGTACTCTGAACAGTATAGACATTAAGAACCAGCTTGGACAAACCTCGATTCTTTAATTCTGAACTGAAGCCAGCTTTGGCTTTTATACACTTGGGTTTCTAGTTCATAATAAAAAAAATTCTTCAGCTACTCACTCATGCCATAACTTACTTTGAAACATCTCTGACACTGACATACATAATAGCAGAAAAAAAAAAAAAAAAAGGAAAAAACCTGTCTATTTTAGTTCTGTTAACAGAGACCTCTCGTACAATAAAACCCACAATTACTACTAATAATTAAAAAAGTATTTAAGACTTGTATCTACTGCTCATACATTCTGGAATGTAATGTGTTGTCCAACCTACTCTGCTCTCGCACAGAATACATCGAACCACTCTGCTTGCATTTTCTGTTCAACTCTTAAGACATTCTCCAGTTCTTAAATGATCCAAGACATCATCCTCAGCGCCAACTGCTAGTGGTTTGTGGAGAATGGCTGTAATGTTCTGCTCTGGTGTAAAGAGTTCAAGGCAATTTATGCAGGAAATTAGAATTAGGCTGAACGTTCATGGGCTGGCACCTCCTCGCAGCACAACCATCCGTGCCACAGCACAAACAGCTTTGTCGTGGTCACTTTTGAAGTTTGATATATGACAACTCCAATAAAGTGCACTATGGTGTGTTCCAGCGCCCTTTCTCATGTAGCGATCTATGCTTTCTACATGTACGAGCGCCTTGCAAGGCATGACACAGGGGGAAAGCACAAAACAGATCCTGTATTTCTGCCCTCTCCTGTGGCTCCTCTGATTACTGAGGGAAGCACCTGAGACAGGAATACGAGGCAGACAGAGGTTCCAGTCTTCTTGTCACTTAGAAAGAAAATAGAAGTTTTTTGATATTTAAAACCAAAACACAAACAAACAACTTTGTGCGAGACTGGAATAAGGAGGAGTCTGCTCAAGCTGAAGATTGCCTGCACTGTGAAGGAAATCCAGCAGAACGCAGTAATGGGTTTTCTGTTTTTTTCCTGTTGACATTTTGCTCTTCCTTTCACTGATCTAGCAAATCCTACTCACTGAAGCACATAAAAATAACATCAGTGCCATAGACAGAGGGGTGAGGAAATAACCAATGTTCCTATATATTGTGAACTTCACTGTGTATTACACGTAAGACTGGAGAATTTCATATGCTACAAGAATAATGGATTTTACAACTTCTATTATTTTTTTCCTTTTCCTCTTTCAAAAGTACTTTCTAATACTCTAGAGTTGATGACATAAAACAGCAGAAGTCTTTTAAACACTTATAAACATACTATTATCATGTGACTCAGAAGTAGAATTGATGTATTTTAAGTTTCCTAATACTTTTTCTAATACAGTTACTAAATCAAACTTTCCTGATCCACTGTAACTATTCACTAAAAATTATTTGAACATAATACATACTAAAAATAGAACTTATTATTACATTCAGACATTGAATCACGTTCTTACTGTTTACTGAAGAAGTAACGTGCTTCAAAGTAACTCTGTTTATGCAAGCATAAAAGGGTAACACAGACCTCGGAGCTAAGGTATTTCACAAATTAATTTGGATACAGCTATGAATTTAAAAAAAAAAAAAAAAAAAGATACCTGAAAGGGATTTGCAGCCATTTAGGTTATCAGGCTGTATTTCATACCCATCTGCACACAAGCATTTGTAAGTTCCATATGTATTGATGCACTGCTGGCTACAGGGAAATCCCGATGAACATTCATCAATATCTATGCATGTTTTGCCATCATCCTTCAGCCGGAATCCAGGCCAGCATTGGCACTGGGAAAGAAAAACAAATACATTCATTTTGAATTACTCTTTGATTCTGTTTGTTATCTTGCGTACTTTCTTCTGAATATGTTAGCATTATAATCTTTTTCATGTAGTTTCAGTTTTTCAAGTGACATCTTAACTACATTGCTATTTATACTGTTTACAGGCAGATGCACTTGCATTTCTTTTCAACTATTGCTGGTGTGATCCTAAGTACCATTCCCTCCAAATAACCCAGTAGAATGAGTAATTATTCTTTCTTCTTTAACTGAAGAAAAAGTAAAACACATCTTCTTACAAATATGGAGAGGATTCTCCTATGAATTTAATGATGGATGGATCCTTTGGAGTTCTTTATTTTTAAGTATACGTGTGTTTTTTGGTAAAGATATACAGATTTTAATAACTTTTCTTGAAGCATTATAACATCTGGCATTCTGTGTAACAGATACAGCAATGTGAATGAGAACTCTTGAGGCCGATTTTTATTGGGGCAGATGATCACCGTGGCAAGTTTATCACACGCAACGCGAGTAATGCAAAATACAACTGGGTAGAGGGGTTTTGAAATAGGGGCATAGTTTAATCAATGGAAAACCGTGTCATGTTCCCTTCTGCATCCTCTCTATTATTCTCTGCAGAGACCCACGTGCTTTCTCCACAATGACGTGACTTTAACAAGGTTTTTTGCTGTACCCAACCTTGTCTCCAACTAGTCTCCAGCTCTCTAGTCCATGGCCTCCTGACTGGGACATGGTTTCAGAGCTTTGAACACCTTTAGACAGATTTTATTTAGTTCTCAGTGGGCCAATACTCTATTACAGAGATGAAAGATTTGGGGGATGCAGTCAGGGTTATTTCAGAGTTAAAACCCTGAAAAAAAATCTCTCTTCTGTTCTCAGCTTCTATTCACAGGTGAGTGCAGTGGGTGGCTAAGGTTTACATAATTCCGGAGAAGTATTCCTCTCTGTCTCCAGGCCAAAGCGAAGATTCAGCTGACTCAGAAAGCACCAACTAAGAGTTTTGTTCTGCAACTAAGGCAATTTTCTTTTGTTTAAAACTTTCTGTCTTTGACTTAGAAAAAAAAATTGGAGAAAACTGTTATTCCTGCTATTCCCTCCTATGTGTTTTCATTTTTCACAACTGATTTTCAGTGCTCTTTATACATCAGTATGATTTGTTAATATTTAAAGCATTGTATATTCTTTTCCATAAGTCTAAAGTATGTATTTTACCAGTTGGTTGCTTTTTTTGTTTTTTTTTATACAATTGAAATTGGCAATTGTTTCCTTACTTGAAATAAAACTTCGAATGTTCTTACTACGGTAGCTACTTCATTCCAAGGAAGTACAACACTGGAGCTTTATTATAATCAGCCAGTAGTTAAGAAACAGTTAAGAATTAAGAATTTGCATTACATTACACCACATTTTGTAATTATTCACCTTGTATCCAACAGGAAGATCCTGACAATCTTGAGAACAACCGCTAACTTTCTTACTGAGGCATTCATTAATGTGGCAGCTTTTCTCATCAGATCCATCACTACAATCTTCTTTGTTATCACAAACATCACTTTGAGGAATACACTTGCCATTTTTGCACATAAAAAAAGAGCTGTTACATGACTGCTCTGGAAAACAAAAAAAAGAGAGCACAACTTTGTGTAGTCCATTAGTATTTGGAATGAATTTTCTTATGGACCAGCTGCAATGTGTGCATGTGAGATGAAACAATTGTGTAAAAATTGAATATTCATTTCTTACTGATAGTATTATAATACCTTTTTACATTTCAGTGTCTCTAAAGTTTTATCCGTCTCCTGCAAAATGTGTGAATACTTCAACTTATTATTCCCTCCTGCACATTTGTTTTCATTTAATTGAGAATCCTCTACATTATCTCTGCACAAAATACAGTTCTATAGTTTGCAACACTTAAAAAGTGTGGCTTCTCTCCCCTGTGGATGCCGAGGTGTTTAGTAACACGACTGACTGAATTCTGATGCATTCCTTGTCTGAGGACACGCACACGTGGGTTTTTTTTCCTGTTTGGCAAAACTTGAATAGGTCAGCTCAGCTCCATTCAGCTTCTTCAGAGCAGAATACTTATAGTTAAAGCAGGTATGTTGCTTACTTCAAAGCAAATGAGTGATTTCTATCAAAACTGGTATAAGGGACTGGGGCTACTGTACAATAAAGTCATAAGACCTTGACGGAAGAGCTGGTCTTTCAAAAAGCCACAGAATAGGATATAATATACACACCAGGATTCATTTGCTGATCAAAAACCAGACAGACCTCAGCAAACACGTCAGTAGAAAATATCAATAAAACAAATCACATTTGGTCAATAATGTGCTAATAAAAACAGACCCATTTTTAGTATAGCAAGAAGTACCTCACATCCCCTTTTGTGTGATCTATTTCTGTGTGATGAGTATATTAAATATTTTCAGGGCAAGCTATGAACTTTGACAATAATTACGTCAATATCATCTTATTGTAGTACTAACAGAATTTATGCCTTACTGAGCTAGCAGCCGTCTTATGCCATAGGAACTGATGGCTTGAACTTCATCAGCTGAGGCTTTGGATGCTGAGGACTGACAACACAATCATCTTGCAAGACATAAGGAATAGAACAATGAAAGCACTGGAGATTTAAGCTATGAGGTTTTACATCTGCCTGACTACAACCCTAAACCATTACTTTCCAAAAAGAAAGGTCACACGTGTTATTCAAAAAATTAAATAAATACGAACCTGAACTTTTGCATTTGCTATTTATAGGTGCTTCATCAGAATGGTCGGGGCAGTCAAAATCACCGTCACATTGCCACTGGGAATTTAACAGGCATCTTCCATCAGCGCAGGTGAACTCTCCAGGACGACAGTGACGATACCCTAGAAATAGAGCAATTACTGACTCCATGCTTTGCTTCATACTTTCCACATAAAATTTTGCATATAGAAGGCAATATAAGTATCTCTTGTTCCGTAAAGAGATACAAAGCATTATAGGCTTAAACACAAGTGTATACCAACAAAGAGAGAAATCAAATGTCTCTTATGCAGCACAGTACAGTCATGAAACAATTCCCACATATGTAAAACATAATTATGCAGCTCTCAATCATAAATACATTTTCTTTTAGGTGTAATTTAACTTTTTGCTATTATTAGGAAATAGCTTTCTAATAGACATTTTAGAAACTACCCAGCAAATATTTCTGGGATATGCTTACTACTATATGTACTATATGCTTTCCCTTAAAAACATCCAGAATACTAATCATTTTAACTACACTAAATATTCATTTTCTAAGATGCTCATAAAATCAATATATATAAAATGCATACATTTTTAAAGCTGAAGTGGATTTCTAACAGAAAATTATAATATATAATGAAGTAAAGAAACCACAGACAGGCATTTGCTTCTTAGAACACAGCTGTGTACCCTAGAGTTCAAAAACAACAAAGTAGTAGAAAAATACAGAAAAGTCAGCAAAAATTTAGGTTTTTCTATTAAGTTTTGAAACATGAAAGTTGAAAAATTCCCAGAGGGAAAATCACCTGCTATTTGTAAGATGTTTACTTGTAAGTTTCATGACACTAAACCAACCAGTAAAAAACTTATGTTCCTGTTTGGGAAAGAAAAGTGTAACTTCTTCTATATTCTACATATATGCCTCAAATAATCTGTAGTCCTTTAAAAGAACCTTGAAGGCAAGCCCTGATTTAGTTTAAAACTCAAGGGAAAAAAAGGTTATAAAGTAAGAATTACATAGCAACATTCATGCTGATTATGAAGAATTTTGCAAATTTTTTTTTTTAAAAAAAACCCAAATTATATTGAATTATGTTTAACCCTCTTTCCTGTTGAAATAAAAATATGCAGATTTTAAGCTCAAAAAAATTAATTCTTCCAAGAAATATATCCGAATTATAGTAACTACTGAACTTTTGGTTTAACTACTGAAGCTGTGAACATCTGAAACGAGCACTGATAAACTTTCTACTCTCTAGAAGTAGAAAGTTAATATTTTTTCTCTCTAGTACAGCTTTTTTTTTCTGATAGCAGATGGAGATATAACATTTGACCGTCTGTGATGAGATATCTGTCTACATCAAGAACTTTAAACCTCTCGTATATCTTTAGTTGTCATTTAGAAATGTGCTAATGTACTATTTTCAAAATGCAACATGTTATTATATCAGTTACAAACTTTACTCGGAATTCAAATAATTCTGTGGTCTCCTGAAGGTGTGGTTTTTTTCCTCTTTTTACATAGATCATGCTTGGAAGAAGGTAGGTTGGCTCGATACAGAAAAAGGTGAAGCTTTTGGGTTGTGTGAGACAGGTTTGAGTGCAAGATTTTACAGACCAACAGCTCTACCTCACGTCTGCAGCATTTCACAAGTATGTCATCATCAGAAAGGTCATTACACATGTGCCAACCAATGGCTTCTGCTCAATATTGCCTCTGCTCTGGATGACAGGACATAAAGAAACTGGGAACTGAAACCAGAAAATCCTTCCTGTTCCTGTATTTGTCTTTTGATTAGCCACATAAACAAAGTATCTCATCTTCTTGATGAAATCTCATAGTCTTGAATAGAGGTCCTAAATCATTATTTTAATTTTCAAGAACATAAGAAATACATTACAGGATGAGACTGGCTCATCGAGCTCAGTATTCTGCCTCTGACAGCAGCAACAGGAGATGCAATTTAGGGAGAACGTATTTTGTTCTCATGTTCTCTCCAGCTTGAATTCTTGCCTTTTTTTTTTGTTTACAAGTAATTCATTATTAAAATTTCATTTAAAAGACAGGATTACACAATAGAATCAAAACTTGTATCAAGGAAATTTTCAAGGATTAGAATGATTGTGAACTTTTAAAATCTGTTTAGATGCAAATTCTGACACAGAAGTAAACAAGTAAAAACTGGGTACTCCAATCACCAGTCCCATTTTTATGTTATATTTGAATAATACTTTAGAAAAAATAGAAGATATACCTTTCGATGATACAAATAGGGGAAAAAAAAATATCTAGATTTTTAAATGGATTTCCTTAATTCAGCTTTTAGGCTTTTCTTTTTTTTTTTTTTTTTTTGTGATATCAGGATGTAAAGTTCTAGCTCTAGAATGTAATAGAGTTAGGATCAGGCTACCTAGTTTGCAGTCAGAAATCGCACGCTTAAAATCTTGGTGCATTAGCTGGTTACATCTTGACAACACCTTGAAAACTCCAGTTCAGAATTTGATTCCTACTCTCTACAAGTAGTCCCTTTTCTCATAAAAGAATGGAACCCTTTCCTAAAATTACACTATAATGATTTTACCATACTAGTCACATACTAAGGTGTGTATTTGATTACCAGCTAATCAAAAATTCCATTGGAGCAGCGCAACACCTAACAAACGTTGCTGTAGATTTCAGTTTACTCGGTAGAAATAAACTAGAGCCAGTGCCTAAAGGCAGGTCCATACTACAATCACATCAGGAGTTTGTACATCCTCTGCTTCTGCTGCCGTTTCCTCCTTCTGTCTCTTCCCAAAGGTCTGTCAACCCATCCCTATTTATTGACAAATAAATAGTACTGACAAGTACTTTAAGGGACTGTGCATGTATATGATGCTACAGAAAACAAATTAAATATACCAGCAAAAAATTATAAGCATGTAGGAAAAAAAATATGCACCTATTTCCAAATTTTGAGACTGTTTAGCTCTAAATACTTAGTTAGGAATCAAAGACTGCTTCCAAATAAAATCTAATCAGAAAGGTTCTCCTACTCCCACCCCATTCAACTTGAGCAGCCCTCTGTGCATTAGTGGGCCTGTGTGCCTGTAACCCCTCTGCTCTGGGGGGGGCAGCGTGTTCAGAACTTTTTGGGACTAGTTATAAAATGGCGTTTAAAATGCCTAAGATGTATCAACACTTTGCAGGTGTGATTTACCCATTGCATTGTTGCAATTGATATTTAATGCATAGTTCACTGATTTCCAACGAGTTATCCGCCATTAATAAATCAATAACCTGCGTCGATCCTGATCTGGTTTAATTTACATGAACTAAGCAGTTTTTCCCT